TCAGTTTCTGTAAAAAAAAAAAAAAATGAAGATATGATCTTTCTGAAAAATCAGCACTTTCCCTCAAAAAAATATTAAACTGGGATCCATCAAAACAAAATAAATCATTAGAAAAGCAATCGAGCAAGTTTACGTCCCTTCTTTGACACTCATCGACATTCAAGAACAACAGTTTTGATACGGAATAGTTGAGTCCAGATGTGAACGACACGTCTGCGTTGACATTTAGGACCTGGACTGCAAAGCGTCCCCCAGTGCATGCTGGGATATCGCGCCGGCTCCTGCCTCACTGGTACCAGGGCGTCTTGCGGACCCAGCGCAGGGTGAACCCGGCGTCCATGCGGATCTTGATGGAGGCGGCCTCGGCTTCTCTCACCGTCTCCTTCACCGACTGCATCAGGTTCTGAGCGTTATGGACCAGCATCTCTGTGGCCTGCAAGAGAACCAGCACACATTTAGACCGGTTTCATCTAAAAATAGGGTTTAGAAAGGATCGGAGGCGAGATCTGACCTGCTCGGATTCCTCCTCGCTGATGTTGGTGCGTCCCAACATGGTGGCCTTGACCGTGGAGAGGATCTTCAGCTGTGTGCTGATGGTGGGAATCCTCTCACACACCTGCAGAAAGACACACAAACACATGAAAACGTCCTTCAAAATGGGCGTTTTCACACTTGAGAGTCATTTTTACAGGAACAGTCAAAAAGTAGAAATATAACCAGTTGTCTTTGCATCCACTACACTGTCCCTAGTCCAAAAAGTTGTGTTTGGACAATTTTACCTGTTATAGTAGTGACAAGTCAGCATTCTCACTCATTTTCAAGCATGCATCTAATTTTTCGTTCACTAAAAAACAGGAACTAAATACAAGAAAACTGCATTTGAACACATGCTCCTTCACAACCTCATTGGTTGGACCTATCGAACAAATGCATCTGCTTCACGAATGAATCCACGTTTTGAGACTGAACGAGGCATCTGATTCTGAATGAACTGATGTGAATCTTGTTGAAAGGGGTGTAAAAATGCCACCAAAAGAAACACTAAACGACTCAGTGAACAAATCTTTTTGGGGAATAGATTCACAAGAGTGACTTTAAGGAATCCCCCAAAAGCTAGCATGGTTTAACGTTTGTAAATGAAGAAATCATTGCAATTTTACAGTTGTACTCTTGTACTGTAAAAAATTATATTATTCATAATGTATTCTTTTTCAGATTTTTTAAATTTTACAGTGAAATATTACAATAGTATAATTTTATAATTGTAGCAATAATAATCATCATAATAAAAACAATAACAATAATATAATTAATAATATTAATTTTATTTAATAGTGCAACTGTAAAATTACAGTATATATATATATATATATATATATAAACTAAATTTTGTGTCAAATTTTGCAGCCCTGCAAACAAACACAGCAAACTAGAGGGTTTATATTATTATTGAATTTTATACAGCAACTGCAATCTCCATTTTTATAAGAAAAATATTTCCCCCAAATAATGCAGTACTAAAAAATAACTGCAAAATGAAAATTTATTCCAATATCTTCCATCTGGTCTCAGTTTGGTTTGCTTTTGAGTTTTTTTTGCTAGCTTTAAAAAAAAAAAAAGTGGATCAAGTACTGCTGGCATCCTGTCTAACAAAGATAACTACTGAATAAATAAAATAAAATTAGAGCCCCGCACATAACATAAAAAAAAAATAAAATAAATTGTGCGCACGATTTACTAATTTGTTCCCTCGATGTACTAAAACATGCACACGATTACTATTTCGTTCCCTCGATTTGCTAAATCGTGCGCACAATTTACTAATTCGTTCTCTCGATTTATAAATCATGTGCATGATTTAGCAAATTGAGGGAATGAATTAGTAAATTGTGCGCACAATTTATAAATTGAGGGAACGAAATAGTAAATCATGCACACGATTTAGCCTACTATTTTTTTATAATAATATAAATATATTTTTTTATAATAATATAATAAAAAAAAAAATAAAAAAAATCTCAAACCCCAAACACATCAGCTGTTATGGACTTCATCTTAACCAACGCTTTGCTCTTCTTACCTGCAGTAAGTTGGTTCGTATGCGTTTGTCTGTGCACTGTTTGGCGACCTCTTTGGCGAGGCGCGTGACCTCATCTGAGGCTTTGGCGATGTCTTTGGCGCACTGGATGAGCGCCCTCTTATTCCCGCTGACGCCCCGGACCAGTCGAGACATCTCGGCCATCAGCAGAGCCATGCGCTTGGCGGCTCCGATGATGTCATTACCCTGCAAGAAACCATCGTTTAAGATCCCGCTCGTCAGCGCAAACCAACCCAAACCCAACCGGCAGACTCGAGCAGACTTACCTTGCTGGACCACTTGCGGGCCTCGTCGTGCAGCTGCCTCGCGGCCACCATCATGGGCTCACTGACCATCTCTCCGGCCTGCTGCTCCGGGAACTCTTCGTCCTTCTCCTCCGGCGGCGGAGGTCTGGGAGGAGGCACCTCACCCTCCGGCAGGGGCGGTTTGGGAGGAGCGGCGGTGTCGCTAATCTGAAGGAGAAGCAGTATTGGGTGTTTAAAGGGGTGCATCAGATGCGAAATTCACTTTTACATGGTGTTTGAACATACAGCGGGTAAAATAAGTATTGAACACGTCGCCATTTTTCTCAGTAAATATATTTCTAAAGGTGCTGTTGAAATTTTCACCAGATGTCGGTAACAACCCAACTAATCCATACATACAAATAAAACAAAACAAATAAGTTCATAAATTAAAGGTACACTAAGCGATTTTTGAAAAACGCTTATGACCACTGTGTAGGACCGAGTCCCAAAACACACTTGTAGCCAATCAGCAGTAAGGGGGCGTGTCTTGTAATGATAGCGAGAAGAGAGCGCTCAATTTGAGTGCACAGGACGGATATTAGCAGATTGACTACAGATAGATAGATGGCAGATAAGAAAAGAGGAAAATATCAGAGAAACAAAACATTAAAAAGAAGGGTTACGATCAGGCAAGAGGTAGGTCCTGTGTAAATATCATACATACGTGTGGGGCGGAGATTTCAAAATAGGGGCGAGGTCCTGTTGGGGTGTGGGCGTGTTTGTTTTGGTACTTTCAAATATCAACATCGCTTGGCAAAAATCTCTTAGTGCACCTTTAAGTTATGTGTAATAAAATGGAATGTGTTAAATACTTATTTTACCCACTGTAAATGTGTGTTGGCAGTGTGTGTACACAACCACCCTATAATGATAAAAATCCACCCAGTGCTTTTCTTAAATCCTCATAAATAATAAGCTTTTTCTCAGATCAAGCCACAGATTCTTGGCAGAGTGACGTCACACAGACCCAGGCCCCTCCCACGATAGTTGATTGACCCTGGCGTTTTATCACAGACCCGCCCTGAGTGAGCCGTTAACAGTCCGCCATTGTTTGGACGCTGGAGCAGGTGTGGACAAGAATGGCTCCTAAGAGATTGAGGTGTTTTGTTGTTGGATGTAATAATAAACATAGCAGTCATCATTTACTCCCGGCGTCTGAGCCGCTGAAGACGCAGTGTATTAACATTATTTTTGTTTTTGAAGGGAATGCACCCCCGATCTGTCTAAATGCGTCTATGTTCGCACGAATCATTCGTGATCCAGCCTCACCTACAGAAGAAGTGAGTATAAGTTTTTTTTATTTGCAAATCGCTTTTCCTAATAATGTGCTAATTAGCAAGTTTCACGCTGAATGTGGCTAAAGTTTACAGTCTCATGAGAACGGCTCGTCACTCCACGGAAGAGAAGGGCGGGGTCAGCAGAGCTCATTAGCATTTAAAGGGACATGCACCGAAACGGGTCGCTGTGAACAGAGCTGTTTTTGACAGGGTAAAAAGGGTGTTGTTTTACACTACCATTGAGACATTTTAACCAAAGCATGTTATAGACTTTTCATTAAGACCCAAAAGAATCATATCAACTTGTGTAAAATGGGGATCCGATGTCCCCTTTAAAACCGTGCTGGTGCAGTAAATGCGTGCAGCTACAGGCATCTGCAGTGAATCTGACCTGCAGGTTCTCCAGGTCTGGAGGTGGAGGAGGGAAATCTGGCTCCTGCGGCTGGAACACCTCCCGCACTTTAGCCACGGCACCCAGGATCTTATAACCCGAGTCCAGGAAGCCCCTCTGAAGGCCTGTCCAGGAAGACAATGGTCATAGGTTCAACTAAGGCTGTGAGTGAATTAAATCAATATATCCGATGTGTTTCAAAGTGAAGCACAGCACTGTGTTGATTTACACGTGAGCAGCTCATGATCAGATGGTTTTAGCATCTCACTTTGCAGTAAATGCTGCTCCACATGAACTGTTACAGTTGGGTCGCTTTCACATGCATTGAGAACACGACATGCACCAATCATCTTTCCAAACTTGTAATGAGACTTGTTGGTTTAACGATTAAAAAGTAAGAAATTAAGAAAATCATAAACATTAGTGTTATACTGTAAAAAAAGATTATATTATTTTTTTCCTAATTACTATTTTATTTCTTTTACAAAGAAATATAAAAAAACTTATTTTTATTTTGTTTAATATTTTTATTTAGTAGTAATAATATGTTTATAGTGGATGAAAATATTATAATATTTTTATTATTTTTTTTATAAACCACATTTTTGCCAAATTGTGAAGCCCTACAAACATGCACAGCAGTGAAATATTACAAAAGCAGTATTACTTATTTTGCGTAATATTTGTAATATTAAATAATAATAATAACAACAACAACAACACTAGATAATTTTATAGTCATATTTATATATAAATCACAATTTTTTGGGCCAAATTGAGAAGCTCTAAAAACATGCATTAAACATTTTGTTTAATATTTTATGTAGTAATAATAATAATAATAATTTTATAATCATGCTAATATATAAATCACAAAATTGTTGGCCAAATTATGAATCCCTACAATCATGCACAATCATGTAATCAAGAAGAAATGTATTTAGAAATACTACTACAACTATTACTACTACTACTAATTATTATTATTGATAATTGTATTGCCATATTTATAATAAATCACAACATTTTTGGTTAAATCATGTAATATAAACAAGCATAGCAGTGAAATATTGCAATAGTAATAGTTATTATTTTGTTTAATATTTTTATTAAGTAGTACTAGTAATAATAATAATTAATAATAATTTAATTAAAAAATAATAATACTTTTATATACTTTAATATTTATTTATAAATCACTAAAGTTTTGGCCAGCTTGTAAAGTTCAATATCTCATGATGCTGGGTACTGTGGATGGTTGCTAGGGTGTTGCTATGCAGCTAACGTCTTTCTGTGTGTCTCACCTTGGTCCTGTATGTTGGCGGCCACGGCTTTGGCGTCCATGACCATCGGTGAGATGGTTCTGCTGAGCTCATCAGACGCCACTTTCACGGTCTCTCTGAACTTGGGGTCCTCGGAGTTCTCCACCTCTCGCTTCGCCACCAGCAGGATCCGATTGGCTCGCCGGGCAATGCTGGTTGCCCCGGCGACCAGCATCTGAGGCTGGTGATTGGCCATAGCTACCTGACACTTGTCCAGATCTTTCTTAATGGCTTCTTCTGATGCATGCAGCAGAGACCTGGTGTCGATCGCTTCATCCACCAGACCTGAGAGACAGAGAGTCGGGATTTGTTCATTGTACTGTAGATGATTTCTGAAAATTGGAAACAACAGTAAACATTGTCCCTATTCAGACAGAACTACTCAGACAAACATTGTGATTTCAACCTATTTTTACTGTATTTTTTTCCTCATTATAGTTTTCTAATTTGTTTTGATCTTTGTCAAATACTGTAACTAATTTTTTCTTCGCTCTTTGCTAGTTTTCTGGGTAAAATAACCATTTGTGGATCAAGTACTGCTGGCACCCGGTCTGATAATTACTGACAATAAAATAAAGTAAAATATTAAAAAATAAAATGTTAAATAAAACAAAACAAAAAATAAAGTAATATACAAATTAAATAAATACATTAGATCCTGTCTGACATAAAAATATATTTACTGAAAATAACTAAATTGAATTAAAAAATTTATGAATTAATAAAAAAAAAAAGTAAAGTAAAAAATAAAACAATAAAATCGGAATTAAATTAAATAAGTAAAAATAAATACATCACATAGATCAATAGATAGCATCCTGTCTGGCATAAAAAGATATTTACTTAAAATAAAATGAAATAAAAATATTAAATAAACGTAAAAAATATGTAAAATAAAATAAAAAATAAAACGGTATAAAATAAAAAATAAAATAAATTAAATAAATACATAAAAATATAAGCGATAGATCGATGACAATAAATAAATCTTAAAAAAACATGAGATTTTAAATAAATAGATTAAAAATAAAATAATATTAAATGAAAAGCAAATATTAATTAAAATTCAATAAGTAAAAATAAATGCACTACATAGAGCCGATAGATAGCATCCTGTCTAAATAACAAAAATGTAAAATGAAATAAAAATAGAACTACATAAAATACAACAATAAAACAATATTGAATAAAAAAGATATATAAAATATTAACATCAGATAGATAGAGCTGATGTCATAGTTAAAATTTGTCACCCGTCATTTTCTCGACATTGTCGATCCACTGATTCTTCATGGTCTCAAAGTGTTCATAAGCCGCCTGGTTTCCAGGATTCTTCAGGAGGATCCGAGCTGCAGAGACGACCTGAAGATAAAAAACAGATTAAAGTCACACAAGTACAGTCAGCTTTGACTGCGCTTCAGTGGTGTGTGACTGGTGTTTGTTACCTGAGGCGTCAGATCTCGGGCTGATTTGACGGCCGTCTGGATTCCCTCCACCGTGCTCTTGTTGGCCGTGCCGACTGCGGCCGCTTTCTCCGCCGTGGCTCCCAGACGACCCGCGTGATTCTCAAAGTTTGCAGCCCGCTCCTCGAACACCTGATCACACACACATTATCCATCACAGAGGAACACGGTCTGCTCCAGCATCAGTGTGTGTGTGTGTGTGTGTGTGTGGCACCTTCTCTCTGTTGGGCGCATCTGGAGGAGCCGTGGCTGCCACCGCCAGCAGTTTGACCGGCGTAGTCGTGTCACTGAAGATATCAGACACCTCCTGAGTCATGGCTTCCTGCATCTTACCCTTCAGATCCTGCCACAAACACACAAACACATGTTTGTTTTTGAAGGAGTCTCTCCTGCTCACCAAGGCTGCATTTATTTGATCAAAAATACAGGAAAAATGTGAAATATTATCATTACTTCAGTCTTCAGTGTCACATGATCTTCAGAAATCATTCTAATATGCTGATTGATGCTCAAGAAACATTTCTGATTATTATCAATTTTGAAAACAGTTGCGCTGCACAATATTTAATGGCAACTGTGATACATTTTATTTTTTAGGATTCACAGATGATTCAGAAGAACAGCATTTATTTGAAATAGAAATCTTTTGCAACATTATAAATGTCTTTACTGTCACTTTGATCAATTTAATGCATCCTTGATGCATAAAATTATTAATTTCTTGCTATTGCTACAAATATACCTGTGCTACTTATGACTGCTTTTGTGCTCCAGGGTCACATATGTCACATGACCCCCATCACCTATCGTCTGACCTTGAGTGTGTCCTGCAGGTGCTGAGCGATGGCGCGGGCCTGAGGACCGTCTCCCTCCCCGCGGGCCGCCAGCTCGGCTAACTGCCCCATCAGGTGCTCCACCTCCTCACACTTACCCAGCAGATCCTGTCTCTGCGACGCCGGCAGAGCATTGGCCAGACGCCGGCCCTCGGCCAGCAGCCCGCGGATCGCAGCCTGACCTGCACACACACACACACACACACACACACGTGAAGAGGTCAGCGCTGACGGAGTGTGAGGAGAGAGAGAGAGAGCAGGAGGCACACACACACACATTATTATTTAAATATTTAATTTAAATTGGGAAATGCATGACAGCAATATTATTATTATTATATTACTTCTATGATGCATGTGGAGTTTCTGCACAAGAGCGCCCTCCGGCTTCCAGTATGAATTAACAGTCATTACATTATGTGTGTACTCAGTAATGCTCACAACAGCCTATTTTGGGTAAAAATAGGAAAGATAATACTTTTCTCTAAAGAAAACAGGATTCCATGAATTATCGTTATTGATATCGCTATCGCAATAAATACCAGAAATATTGTGATTTTTTTTTTAAGCCCATACCGCCCATCCCTAGTGGAGACGTTGAGAGATACGTACGCTCTCTTGAGCTCGGAGAGTTTGGCGGTGAGGCCGGCGATCTCGCCCATGCTGCGCAGGATATCCTCTCGCTCCTTGGGATCTTCGCAGAGATCCGCGATCTTCCTGGCTTCTCCCAGAAGAGCCCTGATGTTCTCCTCTCCCTCCGGACCGCCGTGAGGATGCGCCAGCCAGCTCTGCCGTTCACAAAACACAAGCGCGCTCAAAACACTGCTCAGACCGGAGTGTGATTGGTCCAGACCGAACACAAGCTGCAGGCTCACCTGAGCGGTGTCGATCCTCTTGGCGATGGCTTGTTTGGAGCCGGTCATGGCCTCCAGTTTACGCGCAGCATTTTCCACTTTCCCTATCAGGACGTCCAGACCCTGAGACACCTGCTGCGCTTTCTGCATGGCCACCGGACTCGCTCCCTGACCCCTGCGCAGGACACACACGTCAAACACAACAGAAAACACTTCACATGTCACAAACATAGCAAGCTTCAAGAAAACAGACAACTGTGGATGAACTTCTGGTGGTGTGTCACTGAAGTAATTCCCTCCACACACTAGAGACTGAATGCAACTGAACTGATTTAAACCGAGCAGCATACAATTTAAATTGTATAAAATATTAAATGTAAAAATTGTTATATTATTTTGACATGTACAAAAAAAATGTAAACATGCATACTTTTAATATTATTTTTGAAACACAATTTTTAAACAAATATTTTAATATTATACACTTAAATATTTTTTATTATTAATACAAAATATATACAGAAATTTTAAACATTTAGCTAAATTATATAAAGTATTTTTAATATTTACAATATTTAATTCTATAAATATGTTTTATTACTATTTATTATATTTCTTATTTCTGTTAAACAAATTAATTAATATTTTAACATAATTATCATAAACAATACTTGAGCAATTGTTTAAATATTATTTATGATAAAAATACTTAAATATATTTAATATTATTTTATTAAATATTTAAAATATTTTTGCCAAAAAAACCTTTTAAATGTAAATATTTGTATATTATCTTTGATAAACAAAGTACTTCAACCTAATTATTTTTACATTATATTTTATTTAAATATTTACACATACTTTTACTATTGTTTGATAAAAAATAACTGTAAATATTTTAATATTATATTTAATAAACAATATAGAAATAACTATTTTCAATATTTTTTATTAAAATATTAAAACAAATATTTTTAATATTATCTTTGATAAATAAAAATACTTAATTGTAAATGTCAGTATTATTTTTTCTAAAAAAAACCAACAAATATTGAATAACAAATATTTTGAATACGATTTATCATAACATTGCAACGTAAATATTTTAATATTTTTATTTAAAAAAATATTCAAGCATACATTTTTTATATTATTTTTAATTAAAAAGTCTAGATTTAGACATGAGCAGCACAGTAATTTCCCAGCAGAGATAGAAAATGGGGTTTAAGAGGATTATGGGTAATATCGGACCGCTGCTTTTAATCAGACGACCGGGAAGAAAACCTGATGTGATCTATGAGTCAGGTTTTCTCAGATGTAAATGGTCGTTTGGGTGACCTATCACTGACAGTGATTGATGAACACGGATATTACAATTGTATTGTATATAATGTTTATAAATGTATATAAAAATACATTAATCATTACGCCATCATATATTATACATTCATATATATAATTATACAACCATATATATATATATATATATACACACACACACACACACACACACACACACACACACACACGTTTCAACCTTGGTTTACAGTAAATAAAAAAAATATCTGGAGTTCAGTACCTGGCCCGCAGCTCGGACACCTGCTCAGTAAGTTGTCCAAGTGTTTTGGCCGTTCCCACGATGTCTCGTCTCTCTTTCCCAGCGCAGAGCTCACCAACTTTACCCGCTTCATCCAGAATCTGACGGATGGCCTGTTCGCCCGGGTCACCTGCAGCGGCACAGCATCAGCAAACATGATTTTCAACCTCTTTTTTCTCTGATTATTTTATCAGACGTTTTTCCTGGAAGTACCTGGCTGGGCGTGTGGGTCTCGGAGCCAGTTCTTGGCTTGGGCCATTTTGGAGTCGATCAGAGCCAGCGCTCTCTTCATAGCCTCTGTGTCCTGCAAACCATGTCCACAAAATAAAACACACAGTCCTGCATCAGCTGAACTCAACAGACACATTACTGATGACTCTTCTGGGCTCTGATGATGTTCTGTAGCGTCTGTGTGTGTGTGTGTGTGTGTGTGTGTGTGTATATATGTGTGTGTCTGTGTGTGTATCTGTGTAGTTATTTTGTCAGTTGTCTGTGTGATTTATTAATAGATATGACCTCACTGAACTTCTCAGTCTGCATTCATACACAAATCCCATATTTTCCACTCAAGTGTGACACAGATTATAACAACATTACAAGAAATTCAAATAATAAATTCAATAATTAATATAAATTAGATAAGATTAGATAAATTAAATATATATATTAATTAGTTTAATCAAATTTGATTTTTTTAAAATTAAACCTCTCAGTCTGCATTCATAAACAAATCCAATAATTTCCACTCACATGCAACAAATCTGTATTTGAATGACAGTGTGAACAGAAATATCATTTTTAATTCTGATCTGGGTTGGTGTCATATGTCATTCCTGGTTTTTGATAATGTGGCTTCAGTCAGATCACAGTTAATGCAATTATGTCAATTTAGCTCAACATTTGTCATAATTGTGTGCTTTTCTTATCTTTAGTGCGAAGATGATGGAAGTTGACCAGTGACAAGTGCCTTATATTTTTAAGTATTATACATATAAATTCTAAATCTACTAGAAATACAATTTAAAAAATTATATTAATATGTATATATTATTATTTATATAATGATATTTTAATCAATGTAAATACATTATAATGAAATTATAATAATAAATTACATAATCAAAATTAAAAATAAAATTAAATATTAAATGACATTATTTGTAATTAAGTTACATTAAAAGCTCATTTATAATTGAAAAATTTAATTACATTTAAATAAAATAAAATAAAATAATCTTTGACTTGCTGTGTAAATGTAGTAGTTGTTACTGAGGATAAATGTTTATGTTCAAATGTGACAGCTTATAAAAGCATTGACTTTTAATAATAAGCAAACTGAACTGAAATTAATTTACTGAAATGAGCTGAAAGTGAACTGAACAGAGAGAGCGAGCGAGAGACAGAGAGAGTTTGTAGCATGACCTTTTTTGGTTAAGAGAGTTGTCAGCTGCTGTTTCCTAAAGCGGACTCACGGTTTGTCATCACAGGAGATAACACACACAGACACAGACACACAGACACACAGACACAGACACAGA